GCGGGGCAGTGCTGGGTTCACGGTTGGACTGGGTGATCTTAAAGGTCTTTTCTAACCAAAACAGTTCTATGACTCCATAAAACCCCATGCTTACCCAGTTGGGTTTGATTGCCTCCAACAGCCCCATCCAACAGGAACTGGGCTTCCAAAGCCCCCTCCTTGGTTCCACCAGCTCTGTCCCTGAGCACACCTGAACATTTTGCACCAAGACCCATTACAGCAGCTCTCAGCAAGAGTTCGGTTCCCCACCATCCTCCTCTGAAGTTAAACCCACTAAGAAGGTCTTGACTGTGATTTGCACCTCAGAGAACACCGCATCCATGAACTCTGTGTGTACTATGGTAGAATGATCTCTTTATGTTTGAAGATATTGTGATGGGCCATGTATTGCAGAAGGCAAGGGGCTTAAGATAAACATGGAGTTCAGAATGTTCTTGCTGCTTTACACTGAAACTAATGTGTATCACTTCTAATGCTGCATTCATAAACCTCTGGGAGCCACAGATATTAAAAAAAGCTATTTAACCACTACACGGGGGAAATGAATGCTACAGAAAAAATATTCTATTGGGTTATTTTGCTGTGCAAACTTCCATTCCTCTTTTAGGCTAAAACTGAGGGTTATACAGGACAAATTACTTGTTAACTCACAATTTCAATAATGAATTTCAGTGTCCCCCTGAACAGATTAGAGAGGTGAAACTAATACCAATATACAGAGTAACTAAACTTGACAGTCCAATAAATCAAACTGCTTCAGACAAAAAGCTTTGCGTTTCAAAAAGGAAATTGCAATGAACATGTTAGTCACCAATGTGTTTCTACTGCCAGTTATTAACATATAGATATTTAATACACCCAATAATGCACAAAAACACTGCAGCCATGAGAAAACCAGGATTACACCAAGCTGACCCTTCCAGCGCTGCCTTCAAAGTTTTCAGACTCTTGTAAATGCAGCATAACCCACTGGGATCATTACTGAGTAAACTAAATAAAGATATATCTAAAGTTCATTTACAGTATTTTGCCTTTATAAACCCTGACATTCTGAACAAAGAGATTTGCCACCAGGCTTTAACTAGATGAACTAGGCTTCTACATATTTATCCAGAACTGAAGCTTGCCTGCAATCCCATTAGTAAAATGCTCCCTACAGTCAGCCCACTACCATATTACCAAGTTCAAAACACTAATATTTTGCAATAAAAGATTCTGCTTGCTCGTTGTGATTTCTCAGTAAAACGCTACGGCTACTTCAGGGCACTGCTACACTTCTGCATTACAATCACTTCAAATCACACACCTCAGGCAGGATTTAAGTCTTAGAGCAGAACAAATCATGGTGTCATTCAGTAGCTTCGCTGATTAATCCCTTGTCATTGAGAGCTGTGCCGTCCCAACGCTAAAGAACTGTGAATTAGTGCTTAGCACGAGGAAACCCAATGGCCAATACTAGAGGGTCATATTGTCTGTAAATCTAATCTGCAGCAAGAGATAATTTTTTTTTTTTCTGTTCTAAAGTGATTTGTACGATCTGCAACAGTATAAGTGACATTCAGAATTTTATGAATCTCACAGCAAGACTCCTACAGAAATAAATTACAATCTCTAATTTCAAGAAAGGTTGGCGGAGTTGGTAACTTCAGAGCTCCGCATAAATCCCTTGTAATAAGGTTGTTACCATTGCTAACAAGTAGTGAAAGGACTGAATCTAAACGAAAACAAATGCATCAACTTGGTTTATAACTTTTTTAATGTTTTGTGTATATAACTCAGTATTGACTCACAAACTAACTTAGAATGATTATTTATGCTTGACTCAATGGACAGATGCCCACTGCAGAGACACCAGTGAGCCTCTGCGTTTCACCGTGCAGGAGGTGGAGGGAGGAGCAGAACACAGCCTACCCCTGCCACACCAACAGGCACAGAAGCAGCTTATACAGCAACTCGAATGATTCTCCTACCAAAAATACTATTACTCCTGGGAAGATTTCTGCAGCCCTTCTTTCTTCCTTCCCACTTTGCCATCTCATTCACAGAAACCAATTAAGACTGCAGGGGTCTACAAACTGTAAGTGATCACCAACCCTTTCTGCCTGCTCTGATGGGTGGGGGCTGGGGAGCTCTGACCTGTGGGGGTTTAACTCCAACAATACTTGTGGTTTCCTGTTATGAGGCAGTGTGTTAAAAAAGGTGCCTCTCAATCTTTTTCCCCTTGCTGTCCATCTCTTCTGACTCTCTACCTTCTCCATGTCCGGCCTCCGAGTAGAGCCCTCTGCAAAACACAGCTGCTCCATGCCCCAAACAGCACATCCCATCTCCCAGCCAGAAAAGCTGTCCCTTTGCTTTGCTGCCCAATTGTCAATACTTCAGTCTTCCCAGACTTTTGCAGCCATCCAAGGAATGCCACTAGCAAAGCCCAGGCCTGGATGAGGGATGGAACAGTATGGCTCTTTGGTAGCCTAAAATATTCCATCCAGTATCAGATAGTTATTAAGAAAAGTTGCCCAAATATTGGCAAGCTTTATTTGTTCAGGGACCTAAACTACAGAGAGCTGCAGAAGAGGATATCAGCAGTGCACTGCTACTTAAAATATACAGCTCTGTTCAGGAAATCTGGCTTACCCTTATGGAAAAGCAGTCTCCTAAATAAATTCTAACAACTTAAAGATATTTCTAAAACAGCAAAATATTGAGCAAATTTAACCTGCGGTGTTACAATTTTGATACTTCTTGAATAATACCATCAATGTGAATTAGAGGAGGTTTCAGCATTCATCATACTTACTGATTGAACAATATCCTGGACCGGACTATGAACTTGAAGATGTACTCCAAAGCTTTCATAGCTTTAAAGAGCTGGTCAGTGATACCACACTTCTCAGCGTTATCCACGTATGTTTTTAAAACTTTAGTCAGTTTTCTGTGTAAACACAAAAACACATACAAGTTACAAGTATGCTCACAATGAAGAAATTCAATTTTGAAAGGCTTAAAGAAAAATTACGGGCCTAGGCAGTGCCCACCAAGTTACAAAAATTTATTATGCAACTAGTAATTTCATCATGGTCTTGGTTTTGCTGGTAAGAATCTGCAAGCCATTCTTGAGGTAAAAAAGAAAAACCACAGATCATAACACCATTCAACATACCAACAACACATCAAATCTCTGTAAGACTTCTTTTCTGCTGGATATTTAGGGATGTTCAGGATTAGGCTATTATAAAGACGAAACTCCTAAGAGAAATAAGTCTCCCCTTTACATAGCTTTCTCATACATTTTGAGCTACAATTTGTGAAATTTGTTTCTCAAACACACATATAACACCAGCTAGAAATTCTCGTGTTCCATGTTTTAAAGTCTACCAAACTTGAAAGCAAAACAATTTTTAAAACAATACCATTTCAAACACCTCACTTGCAATGAACATAAGTCATTTATTATAATGACACTGCAAGCAATTCCATCTGAAAGCATCCCAGCTACACTGTATGTTTCAACACACACACTAAAATAAGTAAGTACAACATTATATATCACTAACACAAAATTATATTGAGTAGACAGGTATCTTGATACATGGGCATTTATTTTAACAGGAGCAAACTGCCTAAGAATTTCAAGTAACCACTTAGATATTGTCAATGCAGCCTCTCTTAACCAACTTGTGCAATAAAAGGCCCGCGATCACAAGTCAAGCCAGGATTCAGATCTCCCAGTATCCTCAAGCTTAAAACCTGGCTTCTGCTTCCTGCATTTAAGGCAGGGAAGGATGCTCTACAAGACTACCAGCAAAAGGGCCACCTTCAGCTCTTGCCAAGTTTGGACAAGAGAATGACTGAGAATTGCTTCAGAATATTTGTCTTATAAAACCATTGTTGAAATGGTTAAATCATCCCCTCCTTCAATACCACAAAATCAAGACTTCTTCCTTCCACAGGATCCCAAGTTTTACTACTATAATCTCAAGAAAACATACTATTCCCAGTCTTCAAGAAGCTCCTGCCCTCCCAAGCTCTATGGGCAAATTCTTCATTAACCTACAAGTTGATCAAATAATTGAATAATGTTATGTGGAAAAACTACCCAAGGCACATTAGAAAAATAAAATTTATCATTTACGTGTAGGCTAACGTAGCGCTGAAATGCTTCTTAATGTAGGTTTCCAAGACAGGGTTAAAATGTTGAAATTTTCTGTCAGCAATTAGCCCAATGATAAATACCTGAAAAAAAAAAA